ATATATAATTATTCCGGATTATAGCGCGACACGACAAAATGTTATTTTGTACGATATTAACTCATAACTACTCGTGCGGTGTAATTTGCGCATCCAGTTGGACATTCATGAAATTAAATACATATATATATATATATATATATATATAGTGCGAAAACTTTACAAATCATTGTTATATTTGCACATTTAATATTTATTTGCAGCGGAGGCTCTCTCTCGTCCGTGTTGGTAACAACACGGTATTTAAGAAGCTAACACAACGTGCGGCGCGCGAAATGCGCGCCAGCAGAAACGAGCGTCTAAGTGTTGATAATGTTGATTGAAGATCCCGGGTTCGCACGTTCGCGCGTTCCATGACAGCGCAGACACAGATAATTAGTCCGCGTAATTAGCCCGTTCAGTCTGGCGTGCGTGCGTTTCGCAGCGATTTGAAATTCCACGAAGGAATTGGATTACGAGTACTATTGTGATATAAATTCGCGCTATTATATACCGCGATATCCTATCGCGATGCACATACATTATATCGAGAATTAAAAATTCAAACGATTGAAAATGCGATGTAATTGTGTGTCGCGAAATCGATTAAATTTCCTATGACGTTGGTGTAATTATTATTATATCAATTATGAATAGATGAATTATTTGCCGCGATAAATTATATGTGTAATATAGAATTGTTTAGTGGCTCGCGTGTTAAGACATATCGCGGAACGCACGTACATACACGGCATGGTAGTATCGATAGGTTTTGGCGCAACGTCGCTCCGTCGTTTTCTCGACAGGAATGCAATTGAGAAAATGCAATGAGATAATGATCGGAAAACATCACACGCTCGGATGAGTCGGCTTTCCAGCTTTAATTCGCGATCGGTAATTCGTGTATCGCGTTGTGAGAAACAAATATACTCACTCGCTTCAACCGGAAGCCTTTTATTACGACCACCTCGCAGTAGCGCAATTCTTTCGTATATCGCTATTTTCCACAAACCGCGTTTCTCGCAATAAACAAGTCGTCGCTGTTCGAGCGTTCGACTCGTCGTCAGACGATAATTAATGTATCCCAGCGAAATTCACCCTTTCAGCGAAGACGAAGCTCCGGTGGTGCCGCGCCGATTTTTACTGAATTATTCAGCAAAATTGCACATAAATCGCGGATTCAATGAGAGAGAGAGGGTCGATGAATTTTTCCCGCGGAAAATGATCGACCGGGAGGTAGATTTATTATTTTCCGGATTAAGCGCTAATAGAGGCGGGCCGGGGGAAGGACATCAATTCACCCCGGCGCTTTGTTTTTCGGTACTCACGAGTGCAATATCTCGGCTCGTCGGCCTTGTCATCGCAGTCATTCTCGCCGTCGCAGAACTTGTCCTGCGCGACGCAATGTCCGTCGCCGCATTGGAACTCGGACGGTCGGCAGAACGACTCGCCGTTGGCGACGTCCGATGTCGGGCCGGTCGTCGAGCTCGACGACGACGAGGACTCGGGTGACGTAGCCCCCGAGTAAACCGCGTAGCTCGGGTATCCGGAGTAGTCCGACGAGATACCGGAGTAACTGGCCGAGCTAGCCTCGATCGAGGCCGCGATCGCGGCTGCGATCAGCAGCAACCGCCGACACACCAACATGCCCCCTCACCCTGAAAATCAACAGCGAATTATCAGACGTGACGTTGCGTCCGCACTTCGTTACGCGTAGCGTAATCGTAGGGTCCGCAATTGCTGCCCCGAATTCTCTCTCCGTTTCAACACATTCGCGTTTAAATTCAAAGTCGCGCGTGTGTGTGTGTGTAGCCCACTTTGTACTTTGAGTAGCTTTACTTAATACGGTGCGTGTTTGCGCTTATGCACACTTAAAATGTATTAGATAGGCAAATTGAGTCTTCTACGTAATACGTCACACATGTGTGATACTGGTCTCTGGTCTGGAGATCGATGCGTCACACGTGTGTCACGCTAGCAGCGAGTGTGTCAATTAACATATTTCATTTCATTAATTAACATTTTCCCTTTAATATTCCCCTTTAAACAAAAGTATTAGGATTCGTAAACTTAATTTTAATTTCGTCAACGATTGCATGAAATCACCAAAGGATCGCGGGTAAGCGATAATCGTCGTCGTCGGATCGATCGGAAATAAGCCGGCGCGAACTAACTTCCGGTAAAATTACTGGAGAAACTTTTTTCTCAAAGAGGTATTACATAGAGTAATGCACAGGGTTGATTTCTCTTTCTCTCTATGTGCAACATGTTTCGCTAACTTCGCCGTAATACCGCCGAGTAAGTATCTCCTGCGATCTCCAATAGTCGGTAGCAGTTCTGTAAACTCTTATCTATATACGAAGTCCGCAGGATCCCCGGGACTTCTATAAATTGTCAATAAATGGCGGAAACTATCGGATGCCATCGGGGGGAAAAAGAGAGAAAATTTCTCGCGCGGTTATCTTTAACCTAGAAAGGAAAATAACTCGGCGAGGTAATACGGGGTCTGGTCTCTTGGTATTCGGCGCTTCCTTCTTGTCACGGGCGGGAAGGCGCGAGAAGAAGAAACGGGGGCGATTCAAGATCTCGACGAAGTAAATTGATATTATACGGGGAGAGTCTTGGCGGGATCTTGGATATTCATTGGCCGAGGATATTCTTTAAAAGAACTGAATAAATAGTCGTAATATTTCACGGCTCGCGGGTGTTGCTCCCGCTCGTTCTTCCTGACGCTTTTTAGTGACGGCTCCTTTACACAGCAAAGCCCCTCCTCTCCCGTGGTCACATTTTTCTTCGAGTCCTCGCGTGTCCCCTTGTTGCTTCAATTCCATGTGTACAAGCTTGTGATAATTAATTCCAGAGATAAGCGAAATAATACACATGCTCTCTCCCCACCCTCTCTTTCTCAAGCATCGTCGAGCACGCAATACGTTTAGTCAACCGCTCTCAGATCACTCGACGAGATTCGAATTGTCGATCGTTTCGGAAAATTTGTTTTTCGAGAGGTCTGTCAAACATGACCCGGTGAAAACGAGCGCTTCTCTCCAGGATTTTCCCGGTTCTCGGCAAGGTCGCTCGATTCCACGAGAGAATAAAACACGTTCTTCGCTTCACCTCGAGCCACTCTTTCCTCCGTGTCACAGAGGACGTGCATCATCAACAACATCGGTTCGCGCGATTTAAAAATCTTCCCTCCCCAGTGTTCCATCTCTCTTACAACCAGACTCTTCATGAGGCTTTATCCGCCTCTCTCTTTCTCCTCCCAGTCTTTGGGGTCGTTCAGACGCAATTCGACAATTTGTTACATCGAGACACACTCGACGCATTTTTCTCTCACGATCTCAGTCCTGCCGGCAGCCATAACGCGCGCGTATATAACGGATGTAACGAAGAAACATCAGCTCTTCGGCAACGTCCGAAGAAGCGTTTCGTCCGCTTGCGCTTTGATGATTAACGCAAGCGAGTTCCGTTCGCCCCACCAACACACACGACGTTCGGAGTTCCGAAACACAAAATGAATACCAGGCTTTAACTCGTTAAGACACACCAAATACGACTCGACGGAGATTCTCGCAGCGAGTATTTAGAGAAGAGCAGATTATGCTAATTCTATTCAGAAAACTAACTCCCCTTACGTGAATGGACTCACCGGGACTCGCCTGCTCCCCCTCCCTCGGTCGCGCACTCCCCCTGCACAAATACCACGGATCTATTAATTCGTGCTCTCGCCGACTCGCCGAGGATCGATACGTCGAGCGTTCGCAATAAAGCGCGCACCCGTCCTCCCTCTCCGCGCGAAACTTGATAACGGAACGCACCATTAGAAAGCAAACGCTGCAAGCTCAACATGGTACACTTGTGTTACTTCATCTCCTTTGCCNTTGCCCCCCCCCCCCCGTGCCATCCCTTCCTCTTTCTCTCTCCCTTCGGTTTTCGCGCAAGAATAATATTCATGTTAATGTAACATCGCGCAAACGTCAGAACTAACGAGCGACACGACGGACACACAGAATGCGGAAGGAAGGAAAGAATAAAAGTTGATTTCGCCAACAACGTGGTAAAAATAAACTCGGACGTTGAGCGGCCGCGGGGGTGGAATCCGCAATAAAAGATAACTGGACTCAAGTGCGGAGACTGCGTCGCGACGTTAAAGGCTCTGTTTATTAAGTAGAGAGGAACGGAATCTGGGCCAAGCCCCCCCATGTAGAACGTGCACACGGGGCAGCGCACGGGAATATGGTAATTCGCCCGGCGGTACGGGCCGCCTCACTTCGCAAATATACACGCGTGTCCCATACGTGTGTCACTGAAATTGCACGCGGGGCTTACGCGAGCGAGCGAACACGCGGAAAAACAGTTTACACCGATCGGTTACGCGAAATTATGTCGCACCCGGGGCCTGCACTTCGCGAGAGTGTTTCGCGCTGCAAACATTAAGAGGGCTGTTTTACCGCGCGAGCATCGCCGAACGAGGGAGAGCTAAGTGGATAGAGAGTAGGAAAAGGGGTTTGTGTATACGCAACGCTCATTCGAGTGAAATGAAAGCCCGACGTGAAAAAGCTGCGTACTTGCGTCGAAGATAAAGTCAGAAGAGAAGTTGCTTCGTGCGAAGTGGGGGGAGGGCGGAGGGGGAACTTTCGTTTCCCCGGAAGAGAGCTTTTCAGCGCTCGCTGTCCGGTATCCTACGAACGACATCCACCGGAAGGACGGGGCTTCGACGCGACTTAATTGTAACTTAATTTCGCGCATTGTTCGCTCGCCACGCATCGCGTCCCGCTTCTGTCGCAAAACTCTTAATTCGCCGGGGAGAGGGATTTTTTTTCTACGAGCGGGAGGTTTCGTTCAGCTGCCCCCTCGATTACTGTTCCGCGGCGCTCTTAAAAATCGGTTCTGACCCTTATCCTGCGATAGGCACTGAAAAAGTGGTCTTCCGCCAATCTGGCATGGCGAAGTGGAGGGAAGACCCGTGTTAAATTGCCCGTACCGACCTGGGAAATTGGGTCGATGCACGAGAAAATCGACTGCAGATTGAGAGGAAGGGGGAAGAAGAGAGAGAGGAGCCTCTAACATTGAGGATCGAGCGGCGCTTCCATCGATGCGAAATTGAAGCTGGAAATCGTGGTGCAAGAAGCCGAAAGGAGTTTGAGAAAGCACGAAAGTGGCAGGGGGATCAGAGCGGAGAGGAAGAGCGAGCGAGCGGGAGAATCGATCGTACGAGAAGGGCGGGATGCCAGCAGGGATCGACGATTTTCGCGATCGTACGAATTTTCGTCCATCAAACTGACTGCGTTTCGATGGCCGGGCCTCCCTTCGGTCGTTACGCTCGGTGTTTAAAGTCGAAGAAATTGGTACGGATCGAGGACGAGCGATTTCAGGGTAACAGCCAAGTAGCAGTCCTCCGATTCGGCTTTATATGGCCCCGGTGTTACCGAACGCTTGCGTCTATTCAATGACGACTACCGTAATTTAAGTTTTCGCCTAAGCGTGCACATTACCACCGCTCCCGCGATTTCTCGTTCTCCTAGATTTTCCTCACGTTGCGAACGGGGGTTCCCTCTTGGCAGGGGCTGGCAGAATAGAAAGATCTTTCCGTAACGCCAGGTCGATTTTCGGCGAAAGGCGAGGAATAAATGTATAATAAATGCCGCAGTGTGCAGCAACTAGCGAGATTAACTATTTATCGACGCGTAGGAGAGAGAGATAAATACTTTAATTAAATCTTTATACTTTAATCGCTCTAGAGTTTAACCCTCGAAAAATGTTACAATATATACTTTTTAGTCGATTATATGATGAGAAAATGCACAAACGTGAGCCACAGAAGACAATAATAATAATAATAATAATAATGATAAGAGAGAGAGAGAGAGAGTTCAACTATCCACATCACGTTGTTCAAAGCAGCATTTATTCGTAATGAGCGTGTATTAAGGCGCACCGTAAAACCGTTTGCCCATCCCCCCCCCACTCTCGAATCTATTTTCCGCGCTGGCCTTTAATCTTCGGGAGCGCCGGAAAGTACGGTTCGCGAGATGGGCGGAGGATTCCATGTAACGCGAAATGCGGCTCGTACTTCTTCTCACACGGAGACAAACTGAATTGCAGGAGGCAGCGGCGGTCGGAGGGACGGTCGAATTGGCGAGGCGTGCGCTTACGTGGAAACTTAAATTACGCAAATCGCTATCGAATAGACGCGAATGTTCGGCGTCTGCATGTAAATTCGAAATCGAAGCGTGACGAATGCGAGATCATTCTTACGAGGGGGAGAGGGAGGCTCATTGCGACACAACGAACGAGTTGTAAGCTGAGAGAGCCACGCGGAAAGTAGTTTCACCTGGACATCTCGCAGAACTCGCGGTTATCTCTCTTCGAAATAAGAGACACTTATTTATGTATAAATTTGAATGAATACAATAAACGACTGGTCGCGGCGCCAAGGTGCAACGATGGGAAAAAACGAGCGATAAACAATCGACGGGGAGTGAAGCGGTTCTCCGGAGGCGAGGCGAGATTCGCTGAAATGAAAGCGCGGCCCCGCTGGAATCGTAAAATCTCCTCGACCTATTAATTAACTTCGAGCATCAGTTCTGGTCGGCGAACGCCAGATTTGTCTCTTTATCGTTCGTTGGTTTTCTATATTTTCTTCGTCGAGCCTTGA